ATTAAGTACGTCTACCTGTTGAAACACAAATATCATTATTGCCGTGTAAGACTCAGAAACATCAACATCTCACAAAATGATCAGCAGAATGCCAGCAAATGCCAGTAAAAAATATGTGAACAACAAATGAACAGGCCAGTGTACAAACCTGGAGATCACGTCTGGCTGCACCTCTCGATGGTTCCATCAGAGACATGGAGCAAGTTACATTCTCCACGAAATTGTGTTTTTTGATCACCAACTACCTTTGTGTCGCGTGACCTTCAGCGGCCTCTAGGCGGCGTGACAAATGCATAATACAACCAGTCGTAACCGGACCGAAAGAAGGTGCATCCAGACAACTACTTTGCTAATTCGCCACCCGCCACTAGCTATTACGATGTACCATTAGAAGGAGGTGTGGCAGACGGGATAGTATAGCGATATTAAAAATTACTGTATGTATTCTTATTAATCTGACTCCAAACTTTTATTACAGGGCACATAACGGTTAGTGCGCTACATGAAGAGGAAAAACTTCACTTACAAAGTGATATGTAAGACTGTTTCTTAAATAAAATTCTCCTTATGTAACAGAACCGCATTTTTGAAAAAATAAATGCGTTGTAGCTTGCATGTCGTATTCTTCCTTTTCAGACATTCATTGATCTTGGCTTGCATGCCGATAACACATGTTACATTTTCTTTTAATCGTGTTGATTGCATTAACTGGAACTGCGTATTTCGGACTGTGAATTGAAGCATTCTCCCAGAATTATCTTTCAAACAATATGTGCGTAATCTATCTACATAAGATAGAATAACATTTATTTGTTGCACCTAGTAATTCCTTTATAACCTTTGTGAATTTATCCATTTAATGTGGTCTAGGTTTGACTACTGAGTAAACAACTATTGGTTGAATAGCTTGGTGATAATAATTATTAATGTAATAACGCACATTTACACTTACAATTGAACTGAAATCCCTCACCTACCTAAACACGGCGTCTGAGCGATAGTGCGTACATAACATTTTTTAAAAGACATTACGTGATCTATCTAGAAAGAACAGAATAGTATCCCTATATTAATAGAAACGTTTATTGTTGAATAATTAGGTGGTAATATTTATTTAGATAAATCCACAGAAATGTGAAGAGTTGATCTTCACCCAACAAACTTTCATCACAAAACTACACGAACTATAATCTGGAAATGCCATTTAACTATTTGGATGAATATATTGCACGCCAGAATATAAGACTCGCTCACATTACCTTCATTGGTTTGTCCATAAGTTGTAGCCTCACCAAAGATTCTGGAAACAGAACTTAGTTCTGAATAAAGCTCTTTCAGTCCACTTCTTTGTATTAGAAAAATGAAAACGTTCGATTGCGTACCACAGCCTGGAATAGTACACAATCCTATGGACATTCACCGACTTCAAATTAGTTATGGTGACTTGATGGCCAGTTCGATCTCTAACGTTGGTGTTTACATCATTACTGTTATTGCGTAAACATTTTGTCGTAGAGCTAAGCGGTACGTTGTCTATCAATTCATAAAACTAGATCAAAAATGTCATTTTAGATTTACTAATTATCACTTAATCTTTTGGCTTACATCTTTTGCTGAATGGTCACTTGAAAACTACAAACAGATACTTGAAGCTAGTTTCACTCAGAGTACAACTTCAGACATGTATGTAGTGAGTGTGAGTAGTCTAAAGCACAGTAGAATATGTTTCTCCTATGTCCTAGAACTCATTCAACAATGTTTCGGATTCTGCTGGACTCATGTATAGTCTCTCCAATATGACACGCATAAACTTATCATTCAGGTCAATCAATGTGTTCTATCAAACAAGAAGCACCACAAATATTACTACGTCGGTAGAAAAGTAGACGAACAATGGACTATTGGAGAACAACTTTGGTAAGTGTAGCGAAAGAGGTACTATTGCTATCAATGGAAGACGACGCTAGTTCTTAACTCACTAATTGAGTGTCGTCTTTTCTTTAACCCTTAACAGAACAATGTGTTTCACAGGTTATGAGTTTCTAGAATCTATTGTAGGTATTTGAATTAATATGGACTTAGTGGTCTTAATATATCAATAAACTATGTGTATGTACGAAAACCTGAAAATCATGACAGCCTACAAGTATGCAAATGATCTCAAACACTTTCAATACAGAACGCTCGCTGTTATTCAGGCAGAATAATGTCGTGGGAAAAAATGCAAGGTTTAATTTAATAGTCGCTGACACTTCTTCCGTGTCACTGTTGTTCCGTATGAAATGCGATATTTGCTCGTATTTGATAAGTCCTATAAAGATTTCTATGGAAATTCTCATAGGATAGACAAAGATAGATTCGGAAGTGATCTTGCAAGTCATTAAGATCGCCTTGATGTCGACAACCGACGTAAGTTTTCTGAAGATACTCCTCTCTACTTCACAGATCGATAATAGTCTGAATCACTAGGGTTAATCTTTCTCATTTATAAACACACTAAAATGCAATAGCAGTAAGCATGTAGTCTTCAAGAAGGTGCTTTGAAAGTAGTAATTAAGATGTTCAAGATGTTCGCAATATATATATAAAAAATGAAGGGCTTTTAAAAGGGTTGTATTGACTACAGGAACTTCAAGTTTATTTTGCTTGACTACATACTGCTATACATGTTCCAGAACTCATGGTTCTCTATCTGGTTTTTGAACTGAGGAACTGGATACTTGTTGAACGGAATTACCGGTATTTATACAAGTGTAGTGACCTACTTTTGTCAACAGAACGAGATTTGTTCAATGAAAACAGCTATTATTATAACCAATTGTACTAGTGATTGTTTTACTGTGCTCGTTTGTTTAACTGTGCTAATGACAGCTATTACTCTCCCGTTGACTTTGAACTTGTACGAATTTGGCTACGCTTAGTAACCACGCTTGTACTCCTTTGGCACGATCTCGGTATTCTTCCGATACCACGAGATCGCCAATAAATACATATCGACTACAGCCATCATCTGCCTTCTGATATTGGCCTACAGGAATCTTATTGGTTTACTGGCACGTAGTTTTTTTGTAGCGGTGTTCATAATCAAGCGCCATTCGACACCACGCTACACAAGTAAGGAAGCATGTTAAAGTGTAGATGTACTAACTTTATATATACTATCTAGGCTGTCACTAGTGTCTTTAATCATTACGAATTACATGCTTTGACCACTAAAGATAATATTGAGTTGGATTTCCGAAAAAACATAACTCCTATATATCGAAAACCTACATCTACTTTCTGGTCCAGTCTTGGGTTTAATGACAGAGCACAGTAATTTGTAATCCAGAGGTTTTGCTGTTTTCTAAATCAAACACACATTAATTTAGGTGCAATAATTGTGAAATCATAACAAACTTCAGTTATGAAAACATACTGCACATACAACCATATAATAATAAGCACAGAGAGGACGATATATGACATAATGTGATAGTTAGGCGTATTTGAATTATAGCACAAACTAAGAATCCTAGAAATAACTCAATTTAACCAAGAAGTATTACATAAACACGAACAAACGTATTGTATTTGGAATTAGAAATCAAGGGTTCAACAAGTACAAAGGAATCGTTAGCTAATAAAAACACCACACATAATTAATTTAATTGGTTGAATTCATGAGTCAATCTAAGCCAGACCACCATTAAAATCCTGGAAGTACTGGATGGCCGTTTTCTTCTAGAATCGGACCCCTTAACATTGCACATACACGATCCCGCATGCGGGGCATAAACTCACGACCTTCAGTCTCGCACGTGAACGCTTAACCTCTAGACCATTGAGCCATCAGTAACAAGGAATTCAGAAGTTGTATGAATATAGGTAATAGATGAATCCTGAGAGTATATATGAGATGTAGAAATACAATCATCCAGTTTTATAATAATGATTTAGTATAAATGTAAGTAATAATAAATACTATCAAGAGTCCCAATGTACTCAGTGATCCCTCAATATAACACCATTGCTATTCAAATGCCTTCGAAAAAATTAGGGGACAAGCTGTTGAAGTGCAACAAGGGGATATTGAGTTTAATGTATAAAGAGGAGTCAAAAGAAAGGAAGTAGACCAATTTTACGTTAGCCTGTAAATAAAACCAAAGGACGATATGGCTTTTGGATATACAAATTGCTACTCCACTTTTCATTATTTACACTTTTTTAAAATTGAAAGTGAACCACTCAACTTTATTATAAGAGTCTGATTGTAATAGTATTTCTAGGTCGAACACAGTCTCAACTTAAGATTACTCAAGTGAGTCGACAAAGAAACCAGAATAGAGGAGTGGCATCAATACCACTGATTAGTTGTTATATTCATTATCTTTATACTTGAGGACAAACGAGGAAAGAACTAACTAAGAACTAGAATACAAATACCCCTGAATACATATTTCAGTGACCGAATCAATTAGCAAATACATCGTAATAAACAACCAAAGTATAATAAGACTGAGCAGTCAGGACTGGACTTAACTAGTAGTAGTGTCGTGAACAAACACTCAAGTAAGGAAAAACTATTTACCCTTTTATACAAAATTAAACAATAGCTTTGCAAAATATGGACATCATACATCAAATACATCCTTTACGTAATTCATCATTCTTCCGATCATGTTGTTATTTCAATTGCTATTCGTTTTCCTGCGTTTCTCTTTATTTCACTCTTCTGCAATTAAGCATTTTACTTCCGATTCCTTCTACACACTACCTACGTGGTGCAAACCACACCAGTATTAAAATAACACTAGATCATTTTGTAATCTAATTGGATTTATATTGACATTCGTATTTAGGATCATTAGATATCGTATTAGAATGGAGATGATTTTGAGTATATAATGCTGATAGGAAGCATTGCGATTATCATTTAAGTTAACAAAAGGAAATTCAGTACTATCCAAATATCAATCTATCTACTCTTCATTTCAAATGTTAATGAAGAAGAATAGAACTATTAAAAGATCAAGTATATTTTACTCATTATTTGCATAAAACAAAAAGATTACATTCTTGTATAAACTGGTGTCATTTCAAAGCAAATCAATTAATCCAAAGATGCAGAAAGTGTTGCATCTCGTACACGTTGAAGAAAGACATTTAAACCTAAAATTGTATACAAATAGAAAATGTCAGTGAAGGGTTGTGGAGATCGTTGAGTTTTAATTCAGATCATGAATGGATGAATGTTAGACCACCATTGAAAACCTGAGAGCACTGGATGACTGTTTCATCCACGATCCAATATGTGAGATCGAATGTTCTATGATCAAATCCCGCAAGCATGATCTTGAATGCGCACTGCTCACAAGTCACATACTAGAACGAAACGGCCGTCAACTGTTTCCAGTTTTACCATTCTGGTCTATCATTCATCCATTCATGATCCCAATCAAAATAGAAGTTGATTGAATAAAACAACTTACATTGACCACCGGTTCCTTTAATATCAAGTTGTTTTATTTTAGCATCTACACTTTGTGATGGTTGTATAATGAATCTAATGGAAAATAATTATTCAGTTTCCAATAAACTAACATTTATTCTATAGTTACCTTTTAACTAATGATATGTGAGCATTTCGGAAATTCCACAATGATTGCAGACATTGATTATAGGCTGTTCTCATACGAGAAGATTTGCTTTCAGCAACTAAATATTAAGTGAAAGTTGAATAACAAGTGATTTGATGAAGTATAAAGAACACATTGAAAAATCGATATCAAGATGTTTTGTGATTGAGTTCATGATCATGTAATAAACACCCGTTGTGGTGGTAACGATGTAAACAGAGTTAATTCAGAAAAAACAAAACTACTAATCTAAACAGGAAAGAATTGGAAAGTTGCTTCTTTCTCCTCAATCAACCTCCTACAAGAACTTTGTATCATGACTTGTATCAAAACATTCAAATCTCACATCAAAAACACTTAGTCACTGTTTCTTGTGAACTTTACTCAATGTTCAATATACACAAACTACATTATTTAATCACTGTCATCTACTTAACTCACTTCAAATCCTCATAAATTTCAGTGGTGTATTTAAACACTGAAGGTAATAGAAGGCAAATTATAAAAATACATTTCATTTAAATAAATGTTTTGACTTAGGTCATATGCCGACTGATGTTGGACCACCAGTGAAAGCCTGGAAACACTGGGAGGCCGTTTCGTCCTATTGTGGGACTACTCAGCAGTGCACATCCACGGTCACTCTCGCGAAGTTCGAAGCCAACACCTTGTATCTCGCGCTCAAACTTGTGACCTCTAGAATTGCTTTCGAATGAAAGATCTATGTTTAACTAATAAACTCCAATTTAGTGGTGTATGGTAGGCACTCATTAGTAATTGAACTGATGTCGGTTTCTGATGAAAATACGTTTACATCTATTTGTTGTCATTGAATAGATCTTATGTCCTTGTTTTATGACAAACAGTGACACACATCTACGTAATCAAAATTATGATGACCGGTATGAGCATTTCATGTTCTGATTATCTAACCACCTCCATACATTCGCCGAAATTCACTAATTCAATAAAAACAAGCCATACACAGTTTACATTTTTCTGCATTTCATGGTGGGTAAAAAATAAATGACAATTGGTTCTTGGAACTGACTCTATAAAACGTTCAGAAAACAACAGTCATTCTGAATTAGGAGTCACTATGGTGAATCACACTACATTTACTAATATTGGTCAAAGTATATATACCTATTGGTGAAGCCACTTTCTCATGTTAACTCGAGAAACGTTACAGTTGTAAAATAAATTAGCAAACTGATATTGAGGCGGTATGAACACTTTCATTCAATAAGCTTGAGTGAAGTATTGCAAATTGTTAGAATATGTCTTCTCAGTGTTATACTTCTTAAACTTTGAGGTGAATAGAAGTGATTTCGATTGTAAAATCGTTGTAGTATCGTCGTAGTTTCCAAGAAGTGTTTAGTTGAAAGAAATTCAGAGGTGTTTTATGGTCACCAAGATACAATGAGAACATTAAAGAACAAATGACGAATATTCAGTATTTTGCATAATTATTGAACGTTGAAGTCCTTGTTGGTTAGAGTTAGTTACCAGGAAACTCTGGATCTAGTTTAGCACTTGTCAGTAAAGAGTTTTTCAGATAACTGGTTCTCCATTTGCGATTCGACCCTGCACACTTAGTTTCATCACATGAGACGTTACCAACGGAACATTAAGGTTAATTACCGAGGGATAAGCAAAATGCTGATTATCCAGTACTAATATGTGTTTGATCGATGAAGTAAACACTATTTAAGTAACTAGAAGTGAGAACAGAATACAAAATCGATTGATGATCTACCGAACGTTGGAGTCACATTCAATCTATTGTAGTTGTAATGGATGCAGAAAGTACAGTTTGTGATTGGTTTAGTATTTCTATTAGTCGATATATCACGAGTTTTGAATTTGAACTCATGTTAGTGTATGAAAGACTGGGCAGATCCATTACTCTGGTTTAACAAACGAGCGCAATCCAACACAAATTCATGTCTAGTTACGTAAAACAACATGAAATGTTATTCACGAATTGGACCGCATCATATATGAATATGTAGTGGATAAACCTGTTTCAGTCCTTTCTATGATTTCCAGTCGATTACAGATACAATTCGATTTATTATACAGTCTAGGTGCGAGCAAAAGGCATTGATTATGACATCTATTTATATTCAATTATAAGTTAAATTCAATCATAAAGTAACATTTCCCTTAATTAATCTCTGAAACTTACCTATACAACGGATTCGACTGTGCATTGCTAGATCTTGAAGAAACTGTCGATGTTCTTTTATCATATATGTCTGCATATTACGGAAGAATTTTTCATCCTCTTGAAAAACAAAATCAATATAAACAGAGAGGTGTTTGATTTACGGCAATTGATGATCATGATTGCATGGTGTAGAATAGATGTCTACACTAATTGATCCTGTGATTATAGTAGACAGTATATATTCATAGGGAACATTTTTCACAAACTCATGTATTTAGCTGATCGTTATTTCTACTTCATTAAACTATGAAACTCCACCTGTTGCACTTCTAGGGTTACTGTCATTCCCATGACAGAGTGAAGCAGGAGTGTTGGACATGGGGTCAGAATCCCCGTCCTGAAGAAAACAATCTTGTTTAAATTTTTTTAACGAGATCAAACGAATTAAACCATTCAAACTCTGATGTCCGAGTTGAAGGATATCCATTTGTAAGTATTATGACGCTTCATGGTGATTGCCGTGATTCTTCGGAAGTCACGGGTCTGATGCCCCTTCTAACAACCAGAGTAACAGTTAATATATGTAAATGGTATGTTCGAACAATGTGAGAAACTGGGAGGAACAATCAAATAGCTAAGAAAATGAGAAGTTACAACTTGATGGTCCTTGGAATAGGCAGAACACATCGGATCCAAACTGGACAGGAAAAATTAGGTTCGACAGAAATAGATTGAATGGAAATTTCAAAGAGTGCATCACTCACTTCCTTTCCTTAATTTATCGATGCTTATTTAATTATACCATCAAATAACGTCAAAATAATAGGACTCCCACTGAATTCCATTGAATAATATATGATCCAGCCTCCTTCTCAGTTGATGACAAAGTCAATTATCACATAACTTGCACTGTGTGATCCTGACTTTATGCAAGAATTCAATGTAAGACAGAACAATGTAAGATTGAATTTAATGAAAAGCTCCATCCGATTACCTAAATACATTAATTAGTACACCTGAGATTTAAACTGTAATCTCTACAAGCATACGTAATCATTAGTTCCAGAGTGCTAAATTAGGAAATCTCTTACATTTTTGTTTCAAATTTATTATAGGAATTGAAATTACCACAGTCCTCCATTATTAAATACTTTCTCTTCTACAGTTTCACACACATATCTGGTTCCACCATACAGATAGCAGTGGTGTAGAATGCAGTCAGTCACTCAGTCAGCTACAACGTACGACCAGGCACATATGTACATCGGTCCAAGTTACCACACCTCATTAGCACAACAAGATAAACACCGGCGTGATAGAAGTAGTAAATTCAGGGGTGGATATATATAAAAGGAAGATTGCATATAATGAAATAGTACAGAGAGAAAGAATTAGTTGGTAGAAAGAAAGATATGAAGCGATTTTAATCTCTTAGTTTAGTGAATGACAGAGAGTGTAGACACCTACGCCATTGTGATCGATTCTGAGCCATGTCACCACGAGTCTCCAACTATTGGTTAAGATAGTCACGTGGACCCTAACCCAGTAGTCTGCATCTACCAACATGGCTCACAGTAGAAGTTAGTGATTTCAAGCACTGATGCCACATTCTGGCTTGGGCGCCCCTAACTTTCTTCCACACATCTCCAACACCAGTCTGCACACGTTACACGTGGCACAACCATCTCAGTCGACAAAGATTTACAACCTCATCAGCTGATTCAGCAGCATTCCCTAATACCCTGCGTTTAACCTCATTATAACTTTCCCCGAGATATCAGCAGATGCGAGCAATATTTCTAAGAAATCTGTGGTCAAATACTAGTAGCTTACGAATATCTTCTACTCTTAATAGCCACGTTTCACAGTCGTAAAATAAAACAGAACGAACTGCCGCGCAGTGTACTGATGTCTTAATTGAAATTAAAGATGGTTTCAATGTAGAATGGATTACTTACCAGGATCATGTTTTATCTGGAAAAATGCATCACACGTCTGAATCGTTATTGACTGTGCTGCACTTGCTCCAATACACTTCCGTCGATCTGTGTTGCTGGTGTATTGTTCACCAGAAAATGGACAACTTGATATGGCTTTCTTATTCTCATTCTCATTACTCTTATTATTATTATTATTATTTATGTGTTGTGAATTCGTCTCGTAAATTAAACCCTTGTCTTTAAGTTTTCCATGAGACCAACTGTAAAATAGGAAATTACAGTATCAGTTCAGTGAATAAAATATTCATTTCAGACTATACAAATGACGATGAAAGTCCTAGAAATAAAGACATCACATTTCGATGAAAATCTTAGTAAAATATTCCACTTATATCTTGGACGGTTCCCAACAAAATACTAAACTAATTCAAAGGTGTACGATCAGTATTCGAATGACAGTTCATGAAAATCTCATCATAGAATTATAATCGTATCAAATCAATTGTAGAAACTCCAGTCATATTAACAGTCATAATAATAATAATAATAATAATAATAATAAAAACTAGACTTCATAGAGTATGATCTCTGGAAAGTATGAATGGTTGAGTGATACGCTTTTCCTAAATAGGTCGTTCAATAGAAGAACTAAATTGAAATTAGTACATTATAACATAGTTTCTGTCCTTCCAAGTTTCACTTTTAAAGTGAACAAAGACGTTAGCAGAATAACCACGTACATACAAGACTGCCCACACAATCAGTGAACAAACTTCTCACTTGTTTCTACAATATAATTGCATGAGATGTGAATACCGAAGTATTTCCATTTCACAGTAAGCATTACAATTACGATTAATATTATTATTGTTATTATTATTATTATTATTATTATTATTATTAAATGAACTAATGACTATCAAATAATTTATCATGCGATTTTGCACAAATATAAATGGATTATTGATTCTTTGCTAAATCTGTATCATTTCTATCGAGGTGAAAAATTGTCGGAATATAATAGTTGAATTGATGAGTCGATTAACGATAGACCACCATGGAAAACCTGGAAGCACTGGACAGACGTGTTGTCCTAGTACGTTCTAGTCTCACACGCGAACAATTGATCTTTGGACCACTGAGCCCGTCGGCATCCAACGGTGTTAATGTCTAACTCCAACCAATCCACGAAGTAGCACCACCATTCAACATTGTCTTCAGTGAGTTACTGCTTCACATTCAAACTCAAGCAAATAAGAGCCATCCAGTGCATCCAGGTTTTCCATGATAGTCTAGCTTGAATCGAATAATAAGTTCAACTAGTAAATTACTACCATCTCTACAAAACCCACCCTCCGATAATTATCGAAATATAATCATTAAAATATTTTAGTAGGCGGTTGAAATTTAATTACACTATCAAAGATTAAACTGGCTATTGTTTATTTATGAAATAATCATTTACTTAAGCTGTACATTCGTATTTATAGAAGAACAGAAAATCATACATCATAAATTGATTCGAGACTATTATTATCGAATGAGGCTGCGCAATAATCAAGGGGTAAGCAAAGAATATAAGGATGAAACTAAATTAACCGGTCAGATAATTGTATAGTGGACATATTGGAAGAATATCGATAAAGATAAAGGTCATAATCATAAACACTGGATTCGGCGTTAAGTTCGTGGGATGACAATACCTCCGATTCCCTTGATTAATCCGTAACCTCATCTGATAATAAGAGTTTCGAATCAGTTTATGATGCAATCATTTCCATACTTCTATACACATATATTCCCCATATAAATATAAATACGAATGTTCAGCTTAAGTAAATGATTTCGTCGAGAGGAAAGTCTTCTTCGCTGAGTACTCTCTATTTTTAAATCAGTCACACAATGAGTTATTTTCATTACATGAAAGAAACCTTCCGGTCATGAATGGAAATAACTAGTTTCTAGCATAATGATATATAACCTTTATATGAAACATTATATTCAATGGTGTGAAATATTCATCTGAGCTTGCAGGCAGATATTTCACAAAGAACTACGTATTCTCAAATGATTTAATAAAGTAATATGCTGTCTGTCTGACAATCCCAATCATGTACATTATCAGTTATTGTGACATAACATTCACTTACCCACACAAAATGGGTCTTAAATCGACATAAAATTCTTCTGCATTCAATTTACCTATTAAGGTAGAGTTCAACAAATGTAAGTCAACAGTTACACACAAAAATAGTGTCATGTAATAAATAACATGATGAATTGATTTATTGATTAGTAGAATGAAAAAGCTAAACTGAACTAATGGTGATACTGATACATTGAGTAAGTAAGAAACAGGGTAAATAATAAGTACACATGATTGGTCAAGAAATCACTTGCATTTCTAATCAATGAGATATATACCACTGATGAATGAGTGTTCATGCATTTTCAGTTCACTCAGTTAATAAAAGCTTCCTCCGCACTCGTGTAGTCGGTCGATTACATGAATAGGAAGTTTGTCTATCGGTGTCAGAATCGGACCCTGAACAACATAACAGAAACCTAACGAAATCGGATTCGAACATAGTTCTCATGAAAGACAGACATAACTCCAAAAATATGTATATTACTTCAAGACATTGCCTCTCCTCAGATTATCTACGTATGTTACACTAACAAGATTTACATTAACGAATAAGCAAAGCATTTAAACAATAAATAACAATTATTCAGTACAATAAATTATTATTAATTTCGACACATTTATGGACACCGTTCAATTTACACTGAGCTTGCATCGCATATCAGTATCAGTTAGAAATTCCACAATATAAATAATGAACAATCAACAGTTTATAAATTCTCATTTGAGACTTATTAGAAGTATGCACTAAATCATTCATATCAAACTATCGCTAGGACTCTTGAGTTTCAAGCAAATCACAACACTTTCATCCACTTTCATCGATTCTCAGTATTCACACTTCACAAACCTTAACCAATAACCCACTAAACACAAACATCGCTCATTGCTACCGATGTTACGATATCATTCCAATATTACTAACGACTAACAGACAACACTTTCAATCACTTTCATCGATTCTCAGTACCTTAACATCAAACTGTAAATCTTAATCCTAATTCCTCCAACCAGTTTGTCAACCTCATTCAACCATTATAGGTCAGTTTACATTCACAATGTCACTTTATGCATCTCTCTAATATCACCCATATATTATAATCTCACTCACTCATTTTATTCATAAACCATCCAACCAAAATTTCAAACAGGTCATACTATTCAACTTACCATAAAAGTTCTTTAGTGCATTTCTAAATTGTACAAATGCTTTCACTATATTTTCTAAACATTCTGTGATGACATCTTCATTCAATGGATCTTGGGCTTTAATGGCATTCATCATTTCCTAGAAACAATTACAAATTCGATGAAAAGATTAGAATGACTGGAAAAACTGATAATTCCTTGAATGGACGGTCAGTGGATTGGGAAGAACCAAAATCTAACACAGCACACCATCCGTATATTACTACACTCAGTTTCATACTATAAAGTCAATATATATCAAACTATTCACTTCTGGGTAAATGGAAGCGCACAGAAAAATATCTTTTCTCCTCAAATAACATTCCAGTTCCAGTTTCTTATTTTCTAACTATTCTGAATATTCACTAAAATTCAACTCTTACCACCACTTATTCATCGATCAGATGGATCAAATGTCGGTTTACAGAAAACACGATCACATTGTTCACTATCAAATACAATGAATTCATGATATATATATGGAGTGAATAAGATCGTATTATCGCTCGACAAATGAGTCGACACTATTTCAATGGCATATCGTTCATGAATATGTAATTCGAGTAGAATCTAATCAAGTCATAACTGAAATAGGATGGTCATACAGATATGAGTTTCGTAAATCATACGAAAATATTCGATAGTTTGGGATGACCTATGAACTGCTACCACAGAGTTCATCTGCTCTTTCCAGTCAACATTGAAAATGTGAAATTTGGACTAAAAACCAGCTCAACTGAAACACCTCATTGCTAGCTGACTTAATTTGTGATCAATAAATTGAAAGGTTGTTAGATCACTCAAACATTCATGACTACTTTATTAAGATTTATGGTGTGATATGGAATCGTTTAATGATGCCGACAAGAAACACACCACTCTCTAATTACTGGTAACAAACTGTGTGTATGAGTGTGAATTTCTATTTAAACAGTATAAAAGTAGATGTGAACTCTTACAAGAACTTTGGTTATCAGAGCGGTTCAAAGAGCACGGAAATCACATCTTCCAATTTAATCGTGTTCTTATAATTTAAAAGATTTAAATCATATGATGATTAGTCTCTAGCCGAATAGTATTGATCTATCATAATTCTCATGGTTACACCAGTGTCATGAGCAGCATCAATTGCATTAATAAGAAATATGTTCTGAAGTTCAAACTGTATTCTCATTTGGTCAACAAGTGTTCAGTCTACTCTGCGCTTTCGATGGACTGAAACAATTCACTCTGTCTGACGACTGTCACAACACCGAAGCCGTGTTCCACGAAATGCAACATACAAACAATCTTGTGGGTAGCGTCCACTATAATAATAATCATTCTTTGAAGCCTCAATGTTCCAACAGATAGTAAAACGTCAAATGCCTTAAACGTATTCAAATTAATTTCTAAAATCCTAAAATAATGTTTAAAGAAAATCTAGACATTAGTTTGTGAAACACAAGCATATGAATTTCGTGGATTTGTATTGTCAATCAATATTTGACCAACGACGGGGAAATACAGTCACATAATTACATCAACACAACGTGATAAATGAGAACTCGTCTTCTGATATGTTAAATTAAATATTTTATAAATGAATCGAAACAAATATCCAACTGCTCTTCTTACCAGTAATATAGGGGCAAAGAATAGTTCACATTCGGCACTCAGAGTTATGAACGCTTCCCAACTTCCGTGATATGTGGGGTTGTGTATAGATTGTAAAAAACTGGAGAAAAATATGCAATTAACATGGACATGATGAGTGCTGCTTCGATAATAGAATGTTGACGAAATTTCGATTTACTAAAATACGTCTCTGGAATTTTATTTATCAGTACAAGTGCTACGGTGCATTGAGTGATCGAACACGTGTCACAACTTAATGTATGTTCTTCAAAAATCCAGCTGTAACTCAAAATAGGTGAAGAGAATTATGCAATTGATCTATTGTTGTCAACCAAGCAAAGAGCGATTTTCAATCAAATCCATTTTTATTGTATTCTGTTGCTATTAGTAATTGCTGAGACAAACACATAAACCGCGAAACTTCGTGAGGGAATTCTCGGAGCACTAGTGAGAAGCCGTGATCACAAGAGATAATCCGTGTCAAGTGGAGACTAGTACCCACCTCACACCATGGTATATGGTTGAGCAATCCCGTGGATTGTTTAAACACACAATAAAACTATTGACTGCCACCTCAGTTGTTCGCGCACGAGAACGAAGTTCATGCGTTCTGCTACCTCAGGTGCCCGATCGTGGATATGCACTGATCAGGTGTCACATAGTTGAACAAAACGGCTATACACTGCTTCTATCCATTCAATAGAAGTCTGAAATCGAACGATCCATAATCTCAATCAAAAACCTAATCAGTTTAGATGAATTATCAACTAACACCTAATCGAGATATCAGTGTAGTACTGTTTGTACACATCACAATATAACAAATTAATGTGATCAAATCAATCAATACCTCAAACTTTGTTCTTCTTTTGGCAAAGTTGAAGGAATACAATTGGATAAAACGAGATCTTCATTTGTCAGTATGGGTTGTATACCAAGTCTATCAGATACTTGTAATAGTGGTTTAGCGATTTGTACTGGTAATGACTGAAATCATATTTAGAACAACAACAAGTATAGAGATGAATATCAACATCGAACATTTAATAAAATACTTGATTATAATGAAATCCATAAATATACATACAGATTTGTGTTTTACAATCTTCATTTCAAATACTACTCTCATATGATTATAATAAAACATGTGCTTAAACAATTATATATTGACAAACCGTTCACCACGTACGTTCACTCTACAGAGATCGAACGGTTACTGTCCTTATTATCAACCACAGAGAAATACACACCATTCTAAAACAACTTCATATTGATTGAAAAGTCAGTAGTTGTCTGGATTCAATAGCTCAGTAGGTGGGAGCTTGACATTGTGAGTGATACATTAGAATTTTAATTTGGTCATCAACAACTACAACTAGCTAACCAATTATGAACAGGACAAATCTCTTACACTAGATTTCAAGGCACGTCAACATTCAGCTTCATTTTGTTTAAAAACAACCTATATAATATGGGTCATTTGTGATGCCAGAACATTCTGCATTCATCCAAGTAGTTAGGATTCATTTGAAAGACTTGTAGAATACTCTTGAATGTTAGTCTTTTCGAATTCATCCCACAGTTGATTTGTCTGCTAACTACTTTCTCTTTCCATCAGAACACTACAATAACAATGTTGATTTCACTATCAGTCTAATTATGATACACAAACAATGACACTGTTAGTAACCAATTAAAATTGAGATGTGATCACACCGACTATATACATCAGATAATAGTGTTTTACACAAAACACTATTTGCTTATTATCATCTCTGATAAACACTTGACTTTTAAAGTTATCCCACATCTTACAAGTGATTGTTAATAATTATTTGAAAGAAGAGAATTTCAGTGGACTATTGTCTTCAATAACTTCCTCATCAGCCTCTACAAGTCCATAATTGTGATAGGAATATGTGGATACAATAACAAATATGAATAGAAATGGCAAAATCATGTTATCACTAGACAATCGCACCCTTCTTCACTAACATTCCACCTAGACTAAAATATCGATTGCATATGTTAACAATTGCTTGAAAACAACAGAGATATACCGATCCCAGTAACTAAAATGAAGGAACATGTTTGTAATTCATTACTCTTGTTGACTAAAATCAAACTTGTTTAATCCATTCAATGTACAACCTCGTCACTTTAAATATCTTATATCACATACATTGAAAGCTTTGTAAACATATATCACTTGATTAGTGCATTACACTTTTACTAAAATCACTTCCAACATATGGAAGTATAATGAAGCGTGATGTAACTCAATCATTATTCAACACTCCATACCACACACACACACAAATACCATTTCGGAATAATTCACCTACCTCTGTTTCACCACCTTCTCCATCTTGCCATACATAAACTGAAGATATGAAGGCAAGAATTTTATGTGCCAATCTCAATTCCTTATGATTATCAAGACCGTCCAGATCTAAAAGTGGTAACTTGGAAAAAGGTTGACTATTTGGGTTACAAGAACACACAAGTAATTTTACAAAGTCATTTATTACTACGTATCTATAATCTGATTATCTTTATTAAATGTATGTCATTGAAGGGATTGTGCAGCAATGAGCAGATTAATGACCCGTCTTGAATCCATCTTTGATTATGATTCTTCAGTATCATTCAAAAAACAATATTCATCAGTTTGGTAATATTGAAACAGAATTAAAATATATACTCAGTGGTTAAGATGACTGGTTAAGATAAGGAATTCCTTTCCAATAAACATATACACAAAATAAATATTTTCAAACAACTATGTGCTTGTTCGAATCGAATACATAATTTTTAAATGAATGAATGGCAATTGAAGGGTGACATCGAGAACTTTAGAAATAAATAATTATGAGGGTGGATTTGTTTTCAATTGACCTCATCAATGGGATTCGAGTTATTTGATACGGGATTGAATCGGTCAAGACGCATCAATTTAGTTACGATCACATGTACACATTGCTGATGAGTGCCAAATAACACGAAAATTAGATTAAGGGTATCTTGTCAACCACCTTAAACCATCATCTCATATCAACACACTGTACACCATGTTCTGTCAATTAGACCAGACCTGACACATTTCACATTGATCACCAATCACTCATCAATCAATTGTTAGTATCTCCCTACAAATGATGGTTTATGTTGTTCTGTTGGCAACAGTATGTGTAGACTACCAAGTCCATTTCTTCATCATAATTTAGTAGTTCGTATTGTAATTTATCGAAACGTTTACAACTGTGATAAGATAATACAATAAGCTAATTCATCTGTGTACATGAATTGTTAGATAGAATATCTCAGTGGGATCATGTCCATATCTTATTGTTGGCAATCCAGCCATTTCAGTTACCAGTTACTATTATTATTATTATTATTGCTATTATTATTATTATTATTACTAGTATTTTTCATCGCATTATTCTTCACATATTTCACTTCCTATAAATTGCTATAATCTATTATATATCACTCCAAACGTATTTGAGTTGTAAACTCTACGTGATGATTGCATTGCAGTGTCAGTTACTATGTTCAGTCCATATAACTTATTCTAACTTCCAGACAGACCAATTTATCCATTCTTCTTCAGTCACGTTTAGACCTTGATAATTATTCGATTATCAATCATGACTGTTTTTATATGATCGTATGTATGTGTATATCTCATCCTAATCAACACTTGACTGTGGCTTATTCTTGTGTGAGTAGAAGCATTGATTAATCCTTGATTATATCGAGTTAGCTCACACGCCTTCTCCACTGCTCGTCGATTCGTCTCACTCACTTATATAATTGACTTCAAATTGAAGGGACACACAACGTGCTCTCAAATTAGATACCTCTGATATGAGTAATATCATAGTACTTAAACTACGTTCGCAATGAAATAATTTGAGAAAGACAAAACAACGAAAGAATATAATCAATTACTTACTAATTCTACTTCTTTTCTCAAACTTCGATTTCTCGATAGCTCCGGCAATCGATCAATTAATGTGTTCCATGCTTTCCATTTCAATGGAAGAGTTTTCTAATATTAATTGAAAGAAAAACATCTTAATCGTTGAATATGATAATCAAACCATTGGATTCTCTACAATTGCACCAGTTTTACATGATAAACAATACGATTCTAAACTGTTCATCGTTTGTTAGTTGGTTAGTTGTTAATTAGTTATTTCAATGAGACAGTCTCATACATCTCTATGTATAAATGTGTCTCTCTTTATATACACATAGATTGTGTAGGTTATCACGTGTATTTGTTTGAACAAACTATACGAGTGGAACTATCCAATCGTATGTTCGATAAAATGATTATATTGGACCAATATCATTGCTGTTATTATTATTATTATTATTATTATCATACTAAATAGTTAAAACTTTCTTCTTCTACTTCTTCTTCTTCTCCTTCTTCTGCTTAATGAAATGAGGTCATTCTAATCAAATTAATGAAGTGTATAACATGAATTCATAACAAACTGATTGTTAGAGTAGCAAAATATAATTAGAGTAAAGTTGAAACTGTTTGAACAGATTTTCATTTCATTATTGAAATGTTTGTTGTTGTTGCTGCTATTGGGGAATTTATCGTTGACGATTTATCGTTCCCAAGATCAGTTGATCTTTACCTATTCCAATAAAAACAGGTTACCCTAAAACACACAGGTCAGTTCGTTGAATTTCAAAATGATTGAAATGAGGATATGGATTTATCCATTGATTGATTGATTGATCGGACTAACAACAACATAAACTAGAACTGTAATAGAATTATGTAAACGGATTATGTATTAAGTGATAGTCGAAAACTGATCGATATCTTGTTAATAGGTCTTTAATACGGATGAAATTCTGTTGACTGAATTGTCTATAGACTAAGCAATTCGATATTCTTGGCCAACTCATTTGATTTAAGACAGAAAGCTACAGACCATTTAAGTCTCAGATTGAAATCATGTGTTAGGAAATATGTGTCTGGTCACATTGAGTTGTGGTTGGATAATGAATGTGGATTAACACTTATTCCTTCACTCCGTTTTATATTGCTCTAAAATAACATTGTCAAGTGTCATTATACAAGAACTGGTATTCAGACCGATAACATGTTCCTTATGTGACCTAGTGCAACATGTGAGAGATTGATTATTTTCGATGGGAATCTAGTATTAGATTCATAGGATTATCTCTATTGTTCGTCTGAGGAAATCAATTGTCCAAATAATCACCTCGATCAGTGAAGTTATCAGCTAGCCATTGTGAATACAAATTCTCTCATAAATTGAAGTCAGCTATTCATATTAATGGAATGTGGTTACTGAATGCTTCATAAATATTCCATGAGATGAGCAGCTTGTGATGAATGGTTATAATCTTCACTCAGTAGGTTCTATGTTGGTCAGTGGAATTGTATGATTCAATGAATGTTGGAGGAAATCGCATGGTTGGCTATTGAGATAGATAAGACCTATAGTGATTCACATGTTTTATCGATTACAGTATACACTGTTTATTGACCGATTGAGCTATTATTGCTTCAATCTATGTAGTTCAAACAACAGTGATGTACAACGTGTTCCTTCCTATTTGTAGTACAAGACTTCGGTTCACTGTTCAGGTGTTGTAGATGTCGAATCTGATGAAACTGAATGGAATGTGTTTTGTGTCTAGTATTATGTGATGGTCTATCATAGAATATGTGGATGTGCTGAAAGAAGTCGGTTGGTCAATCTGAAACAATGTGGAAGAGTTTCTCAAGATAACAGTGAGAAGAGTAAAGACAATTGGATTATTCATTCGTTAGTTACTCAGTTAGTCAGTTAGTGAATTAGTTAGTGAACTGTTCCCATCATCCAAGTAGAAATGGAACCTGCGACTATTAATTCTAGTGAAGAGCGTGATAAATTTAAGTAAACCGACCAGACTCATATGATTTGTGCTCATTCAAAATGTATTGTCATCACAAACATTTGACTCATTCGTAACATGCTATCCATTCACCAATCACAATTCCCTACATGAACTTCAGAAATCCATATGAAAGGAATTCAATGATAAACACCTGATAAACACTTAAGTAATATACAAAGTTATGGTGTGAGGTTTGTCTTGAACTTCATATTATCTACAACTAATTGTCAGTTAATATCAATTAGTAAACAAAAATATTTCTGTAAGCACTATACATGGAAACAAAATGCAATCTAATGGCATATTTTTCAAAACTGATCTATTTCAATCTAATTAGACATAAATGACACATAATTAGGTGTTTTCAAGTTTTCTTAATCATTAGTTTAATTACTGTCTGGTGTGATTTGCATAGTAAATATTATGATTTCATAAACCTTACACACAAGTTGTTGTTTTCTTTTTTATATCTAAAAGATTTACTAAATTTAACCGGTGTATTAAGATAAAAGATTTACCGAAGGTTTACAAAACTGATTGACTTAGTAAAAACAAAGAAGAATATTTATTCTACAATGAACACAATAAAAGTAGATATTCACTTAAATTTCAAAGATAACTGTAAACACCGATTTAATCATCAATTCATTGACTGACTGAACTGATCGGTTTCATTATACTGAACAGATCAAAGTGGAGTGATCTGATGATTTCTATTGTAAGTGAAAATTTCATAAAGTAATTCATTAAATTTTCTTTTATTTTATACTTGTTTCTTATTATTCACCTCTTCATGTTTATATTCTTCACTATCTGTCTATCTACAAAATTTTTTATTTATTACGTAATCTTATTATTATTAATATCATTACTACTACTACTACTACTACTACTACTACTACTACGATGACTACTACTACTACTACTACTACTACTACTACTACTACTACTACTACTACTACTACTACTACTACTACTAGAACACCTACGACTACTACTACTACTACACCTTCGACTACTACTACTACTACTACTACTACTACTACTACTATTACGACTACTACGACTTCTACTACTGCTACTGCTATTACTACTACCATTACCACTACTCTGAATACTAATACTACTGCTACTGCTATTGCTCCAATTACTACTAGTACTCTGATTACTATTACTCCGAATACTACTACTGCTACTACTACTACTACTACTACGATGACTACTACTACTATTAGTACTACTGCTACTACTACTACTACTACTACTACGATGACTACTACGACTTCTACTACTGCTACTGCTATTACTACTACTACTGTATTTTGTAAATGTTCTTTTTTTGTCTCACACATCACTTTTTCTGTATTTTCATACCTATTTGCTTTTGTTCTCATTCTTTTTTTCCGCTCTTCTCGACTTCTTGTCTCCATTTATATACTACTTTTGTCGACATAGCTAGCTTACACAAACTATTACTACTATTAATAAACCTGGTTTCCTACTATCAGTTTTTTCTTCTTACTTGTCTTATGTGGTTATGTAATCTGTTTCACTTAGATCTCTGACTATTAAATTATTTTGAATAATTTATGTTCTTTACAAATCCATATCAATATACATGCATATTAGATAAAGGTTTAATAGCTATCTAATTGAAAGCAACATTGTTCACTTATATTTGTTGTTCAAATCTATTATGAACAAATACAAAGTTGAAAGCTTCCTCAAATTCATATCATTCAGTTTTACAGTAAAATTGTATTAGTGTGTCAATCATTAGTGTTTCGTAAATTTGCTTTTGTACTTACTTACTTACACCTGTTACTACTCGTGAGGTATAAACCAATGACAAGAGATCTCCAACTAAATCTCCTGCACATTTATTCCTAAGTGCTTTGCATTGTTTTCATGTCTGTTTTCCATTGTCAATGAGGACCGCTAGTTAGGAATTGTTCTGTGGTATAATTTTGTGGTCTCTGTAACGTGTGACCTATCCATCTCTAACACTTTTCCTCATTCCCTCCTCAGTTGGGAGCTCGTTTATTTACTGCTTCAGTGGGTTATTGCTGATGATGTCTGGTCAATGCATCTGTAGCATCATGTGTGGATAATGGTTTATAAACATCCATACCTTTTTAGGAAGGTTGTAATAGTTGTATAAGTTCAAGTTCCGTACTATAGAAGTGTTTCAATATTTGTATTTAAAATTTTGACATTGATGTTAGCTGACAGTTGTCTTCAGTTCCGGATAATATTCAATTGTAAGAATGCTGTCCTTGTTTGGACAATCTGTTCCTTCATATCAACATCAAATCACACTTGTGTATTAGGGATACCATTCACATACATGAGTTTTCACCTCCACTCTAACTTCTCCATCAATTGTGATAGAGTTGCTGCTCGCTGTATTAAATTTCATAATTACAGAGTAATAGTAATCAGAGTACTAGTAGTAATTGGAGCAATAGCAGTAGCAGTAGTATTAGTATTCAGAGTAGTGGTAATGGTAGTAGTAATAGCAGTAGCAGTAGTAGAAGTCGTAGTAGTCGTAATAGTAGTAGTAGTAGTAGTAGTAGTAGTAGTCGAAGGTGTAGTAGTAGTAGTAGTCGTAGGTGTTCTAGTAGTAGTAGTAGTAGTAGTAGTAGTAGTAGTAGTAGTAGTAGTAGTAGTAGTCATCGTAGTAGTAGTAGTAGTAGTAGTAGTAATGATATTAATAATAATAAGATTACGTAATAAATAAAAAATTTTGTAGATAGACAGATAGTGAAGAATATAAACATGAAGAGGTGAATAATAAGAAACAAGTATAAAATAAAAGAAAATTCAATGAATTACTTTATGAAATTTTCACTTACGATAGAAATCATCAGATCACTCCACTTTGATCTGTTCAGTATAATGAAACCGATCAGTTCAGTCAGTCAATGAATTGATGATTAAATCGGTGTTTACAGTTATCTTTGAAATTTAAGTGAATATCTACTTTTATTGTGTTCATTGTAGAATAAATATTCTTCTTTGTTTTTTCTAAGTCAATCAGTTTTGTAAACCTTCGGTAAATCTTTTATCTTAATACACCGGTTAAATTTAGTAAATCTTTTAGATATAAAAAAGAAAACAACAACTTGTGTGTAAGGTTTATGAAGTCATAATATTTACTATGCAAATCACACCAGACAGTAATTAAACTAATGATTAAGAAAACTTGAAAACACCTAATTATGTGTCATTTATGTCTAATTAGATTGAAATAGATCAGTTTTGAAAAATATGCCATTAGATTGCATTTTGTTTCCATGTATAGAGCTTACAGAAATATTTTTGTTTACTAACTGATATTAACTGACAATTAGTTGTAGATAATATGAAGTTCAAGACAAACCTCACACCATAACTTTGTATATTACTTAAGTGTTTATCAGGTGTTTATCATTGAATTCCTTTCATATGGATTTCTGAAGTTCATGTAGGGAATTGTGATTGGTGAATGGATAGCATGTTACGAATGAGTCAAATGTTTGTGATGACAATACATTTTGAATGAGCACAAATCATATGAGTCTGGTCGGTTTACTTAAATTTATCACGCTCTTCACTAGAATTAATAGTCGCAGGTTCAATTTCTACTTGGATGATGGGAACAGTTCACTCACTAATTCACTAACTGACTAACTGAGTAACTAACGAATGAATAATCCAATTGTCTTTACTCTTCTCACTGTTATCTTGAGAAACTCTTCCACATTGTTTCAGATTGACCAACCGACTTCTTTCAGCACATCCACATATTCTATGATAGACCATCACATAATACTAGACACAAAACACATTCCATTCAGGTTCATCAGATTCGACATCTACAACACCTCAACACTGAACCGAAGTCTTGTACTACAAATAGGAAGGAACACGTTGTACATCACTGTTGTTTGAACTACATAGATTGAAGCAATAATAGCTCAATCGGTCAATAAACAGTGTATACTGTAATCGATAAAACATGTGAATCACTATAGGTCTTATCTATCTCAATAGCCAACCATGCGATTTCCTCTAACATTCATTGAATCATACAATTCCACTGACCAACATAGAACCTACTGAGTGGAGATTATAACCATTCATCACAAGCTGCTCATTTCATGGAATATTTATGAAGCATTCAGTAACCACATTCTATTAATATGAATAGCTGACTTCAATTTATGAGAGAATTTATATTCACAATGGCTAGCTGATAACTTCACTGATCGAGGTGATTATTTGGACAATTGATTTCCTCAGACGAACAATAGAGATAATACTATGAATCTAATACTAGATTCCCATCGAAAATAATCAATCTCTCACATGTTGCACTAGGTCACATAAGGAACATGTTATCGGTCTGAATACCAGTTCTTGTATTATGACACTTGACAATGTTATTTTAGAGCAATATAAAACGGAGTGAAGGAATAAGTGTTAATCCACATTCATTGACCAACCACAACTCAATGTGACCAGACACATATTTCCTAACACATGATTTCAATCTGAGACTTAAATGGTCTGTAGATTTCTGTCTTAAATCAAATGAGTTGGCCAAGAATATCGAGTTGCTTAGTCTATAGACAATTCAGTCAACAGAATTTCATCCGTATTAAAGACCTATTAACAAGATATCGATCAGTTTTCGACTATCACTTAATACATAATCCGTTTACATAATTCTATTACAGTTCTAGTTTATGTTGTTGTTAGTCCGAGCAATCAATCAATCAATCAATGGATAAATCCATATCCTCATTTCAATCATTTTGAAATTCAACGAACTGACCTGTGTGTTTTAAGGTAACCTGTTTTTATTGGAATAGGTAAAGATCAACTGATCTTGGGAACGATAAATCGTCAACGATAAATTCCCCAATAGCAACAACAACAACAAACATTTCAATAGTGAAATGAAAATCTGTTCAAACAGTTTCAACTTTACTCTAATTATATTTTGCTACTCTAACAATCAGTTTGTTATGAATTCATGTTATACACTTCATTAATTTGATTAGAATGACCTCATTACATTGAGCAGAAGAAGGAGAAGAAGAAGAAATAGAAGAAGAAGAAAAGAAGAGAGTTTTAACTATCTAGTATGATAATAATAATAATAATAGCAATGATATTGGTCCAATATAATCATTTTATCGAACATACGATTGGATAGTTCCACTCGTATAGTTTGTTCAAACAAATACTCGTGATATCCTACACAATCTATGTATATATAAAGAGAGACACATTTTTACATAGAGATGTATGAGACTGTCTCATTGAAATAACTAATTAACAACTAACCAACTAACAAACGATGAACAGTTTAGAATCGTATTGTTTATCATGTAAAACTGGTGCAATTGTAGAGAATCCAATGGTTTGATTATCATATTCAACTATTAAGATGTTTTTCTTTCAATTAATATTAGAAAACTCTTCCATTGAAATGGAAAGCATGGAACACATTAATTGATCGATTGCCGGAGCTATCGAGAAATCGAAGTTTGAGAAAAGAAGTAGAATTAGTAAGTAATTGATTATATTCTTTCGTTGTTTTGTCTTTCTCAAATTATTTCATTGCGAACGTAGTTTAAGTACTATGATATTACTCATATCAGAGGTATCTAATTTGAGAGCACGTTGTGTGTCCCTTCAATTTGAAGTCAATTATATAAGTGAGTGAGACGAATCGACGAGCAGTGGAGAAGGCGTGTGAGCTAACTCGATATAATCAAGGATTAATCAATGCTTCTAGTCACACAAGAATAAGCCACAGTCAAGTGTTGATTAGGATGAGATATACACATACATACGATCATATAAAAACAGTCATGATTGATAATCGAATAATTAACAAGGTCTAAACGTGACTGAAGAAGAATGGATAAATTGGTCTGTCTGGAAGCTAGAATAAGTTATATGGAATGAACATAGTAACTGACACTGCAATGCAATCATCACGTAGAGTTTACAACTCAAATACGTTTGGAGTGATATATAATAGATTATAGCAATTTATAGGAATTGAAATATGTGAAGAATAATGCGATGAAAAATACTAGTAATAATAATGATAATAATAAATAATAATAATAATAATAATAGTAACTGGTAACTGAAATGGCTGGATTGCCAACAATATGTTAATTTTACATTTGCTCTTTTAAAATGTATGCATAAGATATGGACATGATCCCACTGAGATATTCCATCTAACAATTCATGTACACAGATGAACTAGCTTATTGTATTATCTTATCACAGTTGTAAACGTTTCGATAAATTAGAATACGAACTACTAAATTATGATGAAGAAATGGACTTGGTAGTCTACACATACTGTTGCCAACAGAACAACATAAACCATCATTTGTAGGGAGATACTAACAATTGATTGATGAGTGATTGGTGATCAATGTGAAATGTGTCAGGTCTGGTCTAATTGACAGAACATGGTGTACAGTGTGTTGATATGAGATGATGGTTTAAGGTGGTTGACAAGATACCCTTAATCTAATTTTCGTGTTATTTGGCACTCATCAGCAATGTGTACATGTGATCGTAACTAAATTGATGCGTCTTGACCGATTCAATCCTGTATCAGATAACTCGAATCCCATTGATGAGGTCAATTGAAAACAAATCCACCCTCATAATTATTTATTTCTAAAGTTCTCGATGTCACCCTTCAATTGCCATTCATTCATTTAAAAATTATGTATTCGATTCGAACAAGCACGTAGTTGTTTGAAAATATTTATTTTGTGTATATGTTTATTGGAAAGGAATTCCTTATCTTAACCAGTCATCTTAACCACTGAGTAGATATTTTGATTCTGTTTCAATATTACCAAACTGATGAATATTGTTTTTTGAATGATACTGAAGTATCATAATCAAAGATGGATTCAAGACGGTTCATTAATCTGCTCATTGCTGCACAATCCCTTCAATGACATACATTTAATAAAGATAATCAGATTATAGATACGTAGTAATAAATGTCATTGTAAAATTACTTGTGTGTTCTTGTAACCCAAATTGTCAACCTTTTTCCTAGTTACCACTTTTAGATCTGGACGGTCTTGATAATCATAAGGAATTGAGATTGGCACATAAAATTCTTGCCTTCATATCTTCAGTTTATGTATGGCAAGATGGAGAAGGTGGTGAAACAGAGGTAGGTGAATTATTCCGAAATGGTATTTATGTGTGTGTGTGTGTGTGTGGTATGGAGTGTTGAATAATGATTGAGTTACATCACGCTTCATTATACTTCCATATGTTGGAAGTGATTTTAGTAAAAGTGTAATGCACTAATCAAGTGATATATGTTTACAAAGCTTTCAATGTATGTGATATAAGATATTTAAAGTGACGAGGTTGTACATTGAATGGATTAAACAAGTTTGATTTTAGTCAACAAGAGTAATGAATTACAAACATGTTCCTTCATTTTAGTTACTGGGATCGGTATATCTCTGTTGTTTTCTAGCAATTGTTAACATATGCAATCGATATTTTAGTCAAGGTGGAATGTTAGTGAAGAAGGGTGCGATTGTCCAGTGATAACATGATTTTGCCATTTCTATTCATATTTGTTATTGTATCCACATATTCCTATCACAATTATGGACTTGTAGAGGCTGATGAGGAAGTTATTGAAGACAATAGTGCACTGAAATTCTCTTCATTTGAATAATTATTAACAATCACTTGTAAGATGTGGGATAACTTTAAAAGTCAAGTGTTTATCAGAGATGATAATAAGCAAATAGTGTTTTGTGTAAAACACTATTATCTGATGTATATAGTCGGTGTGATCACATCTCAATTTTAATTGGTTACTAACAGTGTCATTGTTTGTGTATCATAATTAGACTGATAGTGAAATCAACATTGTTATTGTAGTGTTCTGATGGAAAGAGAAAGTAGTTAGAGGACAAATCAACTGTCGGATGAATTCGAAAAGACTAACATTCAAGAGTATTCTACAAGTCTTTCAAATGAATCCTAACTACTTGGATGAATGCAGAATGTTCTGGCATCACAAATGACCCATATTATATAGGTTGTTTTTAAACAAAATGAAGCTGAATGTTGACGTGCCTTGAAATCTAGTGTAAGAGATTTGTCCTGTTCATAATTGGTTAGTTAGTTGTAGTTGTTGATGACCAAATTAAAATTCTAATGTATCACTTACAGTGTCAAACTGCCACCTACTGAGCTATTGAATCCAGACAACTACTGACACTTCAATCAATATGAAGTTGTTTTAGAATGGTGTGTATTTCTCTGTGGTTGATAATAAGGACAGTAACCGTTCGATCTCTGTAGAGTGAACGTACGTGGTGAACGGTTTGTCAATATATAATTGTTTAAGCACATGTTTTATTATAATCATATGAGAGTAGTATTTGAAATGAAGATTGTAAAACACAAATCTGTATGTATATTTATGGACTTCATTATAATCAATAATTTTATTAAATGTTCGATGTTGATATTCATCTCTATACCTGTTGTTGTTCTAAATATGATTTCAGTCATTACCAGTACAAATCGCTAAACCACTATTACAAGTATCTGATAGACTTGGTATACAACCCATACTGACAAATGAAGATCTCGTTTTATCCAATTGTATTCCTTCAACTTTGCCAAAAGAAGAACAAAGTTTGAGGTATTGATTGATTTGATCACATTAATTTGTTATATTGTGATGTGTACAAACAGTACTACACTGATATCTCGATTAGGTGTTAGTTGATAATTCATCTAAACTGATTAGGTTTTTGATTGAGATTATGGATCGTTCGATTTCAGACTTCTATTGAATGGATAGAAGCAGTGTATAGCCGTTTTGTTCAACTATGTGACACCTGATCAGTGCATATCCACGATCGGGCACCTGAGGTAGCAGAACGCATGAACTTCGTTCTCGTGCGCGAACAACTGAGGTGGCAGTCAATAGTTTTATTGTGTGTTTAAACAATCCACGGGATCGCTCAACCATATACCATGGTGTGAGGTGGGTACTAGTCTCTACTTGACACGGATTATCTCTTGTGATCACGGCTTCTCACTAGTGCTCCGAGAATTCCCTCACGAAGTTTCGCGGTTTATGTGTTTGTCTCAGCAATTACTAATAGCAACAGAATACAATAAAAATGGATTTGATTGAAAATCACTCTTTGCTTGGTTGACAACAATAGATCAATTGCATAATTCTCTTCACCTATTTTGAGTTACAGCTGGATTTTTGAAGAACATACATTAAGTTGTGACACGTGTTCGATCACTCAATGCACCGTAGCACTTGTACTGATAAATAAAATTCCAGAGACGTATTTTAGTAAATCGAAATTTCGCCAACATTCTATTATCGAAGCAACACTCATCATGTCCATGTTAATTGCATATTTTTCTCCAGTTTTTTACAATCTATACACAACCCCACATATCACGGAAGTTGGGAAGCGTTCATAACTCTGAGTGCCGAATGTGAACTATTCTTTGCCCCTATATTACTGGTAAGAAGAGCAGTTGGATATTTGTTTCGATTCATTTATAAAATATTTAATTTAACATATCAGAAGACGAGTTCTCATTTATCACGTTGTGTTGATGTAATTATGTGACTGTATTTCCCCGTCGTTGGTCAAATATTGATTGACAATACAAATCCACGAAATTCATATGCTTGTGTTTCACAAACTAATGTCTAGATTTTCTTTAAACATTATTTTAGGATTTTAGAAATTAATTTGAATACGTTTAAGGCATTTGACGTTTTACTATCTGTTGGAACATTGAGGCTTCAAAGAATGAGTATTATTATAGTGGACGCTACCCACAAGATTGTTTGTATGTTGCATTTCGTGGAACACGGCTTCGGTGTTGTTACAGTCGTCAGACAGAGTGAATTGTTTCAGTCCATCGAAAGCGCAGAGTAGACTGAACACTTGTTGACCAAATGAGAATACAGTTTGAACTTCAGAACATATTTCTTATTAATGCAATTGATGCTGCTCATGACACTGGTGTCACCATGAGAATTATGATAGATCAATACTATTCGGCTAGAGACTAATCATCATATGATATAAATCTTTTCAATTATAAGAACACGATTAAATTGGAAGATGTGATTTCCGTGCTCTTTGAACCGCTCTGATAACCAAAGTTCTTGTAAGAGTTCACATCTACTTTTATACTGTTTAAATAGAAATTCACACTCATACACACAGTTTGTTACCAGTAATTAGAGAGTGGTGTGTTTCTTGTCGGCATCATTAAACGATTCCATATCACACCATAAATCTTAATAAAGTAGTCATGAATGTTTGAGTGATCTAACAACCTTTCAATTTATTGATCACAAATTAAGTCAGCTAGCAATGAGGTGTTTCAGTTGAGCTGGGTTTTAGTCCAAATTTCACATTTTCAATGTTGACTGGAAAGAGCAGATGAACTCTGTGGTAGCAGTTCATAGGTCATCCCAAATATCGAATATTCTCGTATGATTTACGAAACTCATATCTGTATGACCATCCTATTTCAGTTATGACTTGATTAGATTCTACTCGAATTACATATTCCTGGACGATATGCCATTGAAATAGTGTCGACTCATTTGTCGAGCGATAATACGATCTTATTCACTCCATATATATCATGAATTCATTGTATTTGATAGTGAACAATGTGATCGTGTTTTCTGTAAACTGACATTTGATCCATCTGATCGATAAATAAGTGGTGGTAAGAGTTGAATTTTAGTGAATATTCAGAATAGTTAGAAAATAAGAAACTGGAACTGGAATGTTATTTGAGGAGAATAGATATTTTTCTGTGCGCTTCCATTTACCCTGAAGTGAATAGTTTGATATATATTGACTTTATAGTATGAAACTGAGTGTAGTAATATACGGATGGTGTGCTGTGTTAGATTTTGGTTCTTCCCAATCCACTGACCGTCCATTCAAGGAATTATCAGTTTTTCTAGTCATTCTAATCTTTTCATCGAATTTGTAATTGTTTCTAGGAAATGATGAATGCCATTAAAGCCCAAGATCCATTGAATGAAGATGTCATCACAGAATGTTTAGAAAATATAGTGAAAGCATTTGTACAATTTAGAAATGCACTAAAGAACTTTTATGGTAAGTTGAATAGTTTGAACTGTTTGAAATTTTGGTTGGATGGTTAATGAATAAAATGAGTGAGTGAGATTATAATATATGGGTGATATTAGAGAGATGCATAAGGTGACGTTGAGAATGTAAACTTACCTATAAGAGTTGAATGAGGTTGACAAACTGATTGGAGGAATTAGGATTAAGATTTACAGTTTGATGTTAAGGTACTGAGAATCGATGAAAGTGATTGAAAGTGTTGTCTGTTAGCCGTTAATAATATTGGAATGATATCGTAACATCGGTAGCAATGAGCGATGTTTGTGTTTAGTGGGTTATTTGTTAAGGTTTGTGAAGTGTGGATACTGAGAATCGATGAAAGTGGATGAAAGTGTTGAGATTTGCTTGAAACTCAAGAGTCCTAGGGATAGTTTGATATGAATGATTTAGTGCATACTTCTAATAAGTCTCAAATGAGAATTTATAAACTGTTGATTGTTCATTATTTATATTGTGGAATTTCCAACTGATACTGATATGCGATGCAAGCTCAGTGTAAATTCAACGGTGTCCATAAATGTGTCCAAATTAATAATAATTTATTGTACTGAATAATTGTTATTTATTGTTTAAATGCTTTGCTTATTCGTTAATGTAAATGTTGTTAGTGTAACATACGTAGATAATCTGAGGAGAGGCAATGTCTTGAAGTAATATACATATTTCCGGAGTTATGTCTGTCTTTCATGAGAACTATGTTCGAATCCGATTTCGTTAGGTTTCTGTTATGTTGTTCAGGGTCCGATTCTGACACCGATAGACAAACTTTCTATTCATGTAATCGACCGACTACACGAGTGCGGAGGAAGCTTTTATTAACTGAGTGAACTGAAAATGCATGAACACTCATTCATCAGTGGTATATATCTCATTGATTAGAAATGCAAGTGATTTCTTGACCAATCATGTGTACTTATTATTTACCCTGTTTCTTACTTACTCAATGTATCAGTATCACCATTAGTTCAGTTTAGCTTTTTCATTCTACTAATCAATAAATCAATTCATCATGTTATTTATTACATGACAATATTTTTGTGTGTAACTGTTGACTTACATTTGTTGAACTCTACCTGAATAGGTAAATTGAATGGAGAAGAATTCTATGTCGATTTAAGACCCATTTTGTGTGGGTAAGTGAATGTTATGTCACAATAACTGATAATGTACATGATTGGGATTGTCAGACGGACAGCATATTACTTTATTAAATCATTTGAGAATACGTAGTTCTTTGTGAAATATCTGCCTGTAAGCTCAAATGAATATTTCACACCATTGAATATAATGTTTCATATAAAGGTTGTATATCATTATGCTAGAAACTAGTTATTTCCATTCATGACCGGAAGGTTTCTTTCATGTAATGAAAATAACTCATTGTGTGACTGATTTAAAAATAGAGAGTATTGAGTGAAGAAGACTTTCCTCTCGACGAAATCATTTACTTAAGCTGAACATTCGTATTTATATTTATATGGGGAATATATGTGTATAGAAGTATGGAAATGATTGCATCATAAACTGATTCGAAACTCTTATTATCAGATGAGGTTACGGATTAATCAAGGGAATCGGAGGTATTGTCATCCCACGAACTTAACGCCGAATCCATTGTTTATGATTATGACCTTTATCATTATCGATTTTCTTCCAATATGTCCACTATACAATTATCTGACCGGTTAATTTAGTTTCATCCTTATATTCTTTGCTTACCCCTTGATTATTGAGCAACCTCATTCGATAATAATAGTCTCGAATCAATTTATGATGTATGATTTTCTGTTCTTCTATAAATACGAATGTACAGCTTAAGTAAATGATTATTTCATAAATAAACAATAGCCAGTTTAATCTTTGATAGTGTAATTAAATTTCAACCGCCTACTAAAATATTTTAATGATTATATTTCGATAATTATCGGAGGGTGGGTTTTGTAGAGATGGTAGTAATTTACTAGTTGAACTTATTATTCGATTCAAGCTAGACTATTATGGAAAACCTGGATGCACTGGATGGCTGTTATTTGCTTGAGTTTGAGTGTGAAGCAGTAACTCACTGAAGACAATGTTGAATGGTGGTGCTACTTCGTGGATTGGTTGGAGTTAAGCATTAACATGATGCGATTATAATTCTGTGATGACCTTTTCATGAACTGTCATTCGAATACTGATCGTACACCTTTGAATTAGTTTAGTATTTTGTTGGGAACCGTCCAAGATATAAGTGGAACATTTTACTAAGATTTTCATCGAAATGTGATGGCTTTATTTCTAGGGCTTTCATCGTCATTTGTATAGTCTGAAATGAATATTTTATTCACTGAACTGATACTGTAATTTCGTATTTTACAGTTGGTCTCATGGAAAACTTAAAGACAAGGGTTTAATTTACGAGACGAATTCACAACACATAAATAATAATAATAATAAGAGTAATGAGAATGAGAATAAGAAAGCCATATCAAGTTGTCCATTTTCTGGTGAACAATACACCAGCAACACGGATCGACGGAAGTGTATTGGAGCAAGTGCAGCACAGTCAATAACGATTCAGACGTGTGATGCATTTTTCCAGATAAAACATGATCCTGGTAAGTAATCCATTCTACATTGAAACCATCTTTAATTTCAATTAAGACGTCAGTACACTGCGCGGCAGTTCGTTCTGTTTTATTTTACGACTGTGAAACGTGGCTATTAAGAGTAGAAGATATTCGTAAGCTACTAGTATTTGACCACAGATTTCTTAGAAATATTGCTCGCATCTGCTGGTATCTCCAGGAAAGTTATAATGAGGTTAAACGCAGGGTATTAGGGAATGCTGCTGAATTAGCTAATGAGGTTGTAAATCTTTGTCGATTGAGATGGTTGTGCCACCTGTAACGTGTGCAGACTGGTGTTGGAGACGGATGGAAGAAAGTTAGGGGCGCCCAAGCCAGAATGTTGCATCAGTGCTTGAAATCACTAACTTCTACTGTGAGCCATGTTGGTAGATGCAGACTACTGGGTTAGTGTCCACGTGACTATCTTAACCAATAGTTGGAGACTCGTGGTGACATGGCTCAGAATCGATCACAATGGCGTAGGTGTCTACACTCTCTGTCATTCACTAAACTAAGAGATTAAAATCGCTTCATATCTTTCTTTCTACCAACTAATTCTTTCTCTCTGTACTATTTCATTATATGCAATCTTTCATCAATATATATCCACCCCTGAATTTACTACTTCTATCTCGCTGGTGTTTATCTTGTTGTGCTAATGAGGTGTGGTAACTTGGACCGATGTACATATGTGCCTGGTCGTACGTTGTAGCTGACTGAGTGACTGACTGCATTCTACACCACTGCTATCTGTATGGTGGAACCAGATATGTGTGTGAAACTGTAGAAGAGAAAGTATTTAATAATGGAGGACTGTGGTAATTTCAATTCCTATAATAAATTTGAAACAAAAATGTAAGAGATTTCCTAATTTAGCACTCTGGAACTAATGATTACGTATGCTTGTAGAGATTACAGTTTAAATCTCAGGTGTACTAATTAATGTGTTTAGGTAATCGGATGGAGCTTTTCATTAAATCCAATCTTACATTGTTCTGTCTTACATTGAATTCTTGCATAAAGTCAGGATCACACAGTGCAAGTTATGTGATAATTGACTTTGTCATCAACTGAGAAGGAGGTAGGATCATATATTATTCAATGGAATTCAGTGGGAGTCCTATTATTTTGACGTTATTTGATGGTATAATTAAATAAGCATCGATAAATTAAGGAAAGGAAGTGAGTGATGCACTCTTTGAAATTTCCATTCAATCTATTTCTGTCGAACCTAATTTTTCCTGTCCAGTTTGGATCCGATGTGTTCTGCCTATTCCAAGGACAATCAAGTTGTAACTTCTCATTTTCTTAGCTATTTGATTGTTCCTCCCAGTTTCTCACATTGTTCGAACATACCATTTACATATATTAACTGTTACTCTGGTTGTTAGAAGGGGCATCAGACCCGTGACTTCCGAAGAATCACGGCAATCACCATGAAGCGTCATAATACTTACAAATGGATATCCTTCAACTCGGACATCAGAGTTTGAATGGTTTAATTCGTTTGATCTCGTTAAAAAAATTTAAACAAGATTGTTTTCTACAGGACGGGGATTCTGACCCCATGTCCAACCCTCCTGCTTCACTCTCTCATGGGAATGACAGTAATCCTAGAAGTGCAACAGGTGGAGTTTCATAGTTTAATGAAGTAGAAATAACGATCAGCTAAATACATGAGTCTGTGAAAAATGTTCCCTATGAATATATACTGTCTACTATAATCACAGGATCAATTAGTGTAGACATCTATCATACACCATGCAATCATGATCATCAATTGCCGTAAATCAAACACCTCTCTGTTTATATTGATTTTGTTTTTCAAGAGGATGAAAAATTCTTCCGTAATATGCAGACATATATGATAAAAGAACATCGACAGTTTCTTCAAGATCTAGCAATGCACAGTCGAATCCGTTGTATAGGTAAGTTCCAGAGATTAATTAAGGGAAATGTTACTTTATGATTGAATTTAACTTATAATTGAATATAAATAGATGTCATAATCAATGCCTTTTGCTCGCACCTAGACTGTATAATAAATCGAATTGTATATGAAATCGATTGGAAATCATAGAAAGGACTGAAACAGGTTTATCCACTACACATTCATATATGATGCGGTCCAATTCGTGAATAACATTTCATGTTGTTTTACGTAACTAGACATGAATTTGTGTTGGATTGCGCTCGTTTGTTAAACCAGAGTAATGGATCTGCCCAGTCTTTCATACACTAACATGAGTTCAAATTCAAAACTCGTGATATATCGACTAATAGGAATACTAAACCAATCACAAACTGTACTTTCTGCATCCATTACAACTACAATAGATTGAATGTGACTCCAATGTTCGGTAGATCATCAATCGATTTTGTATTCTGTTCTCACTTCTAGTTACTTAAATAGTGTTTACTTCATCGATCAAACACATATTAGTACTGGATAATCAGCATTTTGCTTATCCCTCGGTAATTAACCTTAATGTTCCGTTGGTAACGTTTCATGTGATGAAACTAAGTGTGCAGGGTCGAATCGCAAATGGAGAACCAGTTATCTGAAAAACTCTTTACTGACAAGTGCTAAACTAGATCCAGAGTCTCCTGGTAACTAACTCTAACCAACAAGGACTTCAACGTTCAATAATTATGCAAATTACTGAATATTCGTCATTTGTTCTTTAATGTTCTCATTCAATCCTAATGGCCATAAAACACCTCTGAATATGTTTCAACCTAACACTACGACCTAATACTACGACGATACTACAACGATTCTACAATCGAAATCACTTCTATTCACCTCAAAGTTTAAGAAGTATAACACTGAGAAGACATATTCTAACAATTTGCAATACTTCACTCAAGCCTCAATATCAGTTTGCTAATTTATTTTACAACTGTAACGTTTCTCGAGTTAACATGAGAAAGTGGCTTCACCAATAGGTATATCTACTTTGACCAATATTAGTAAATGTAGTGTGATTCACCATAGTTACTCCTAATTCAGAACGACTGTTGTTTTCTGAACATTTCATAGAGTCAGTTCCAAGAACCAATTGTCATTTATTTTTTACTCACCATGATTTTCACAAAAATTTAATTTGTGTAGAGCTTGTTTTTATTGAATTAGTGAATTTCGGCGAATGTATGGAGGTGGTTAGATAATCAGAACATGAAATGCTCATACCGGTCATCATAATTTTGATTACGTAGATGTGTGTCACTGTTTGTCTTAAAACAAGGACATAAGATCAATACAATGACAACAAATAGATGTAAACGTATTTTCATCAGAAACCGACATCAGTTCAATTACTAATGAGTGCCTACCATACACCACAAAATAGGAGTTTATTAGTTAAACATAGATCTTTCATTCGAAAGCAATTCTGGAGGTCACAAGTTTGAGCGCGAGATACAAGGTGTTGGCTTCGAACTCAGCGAGTGTGATCGTGGATGTGCACTGCTGAGTAGTCCCACAATAGGACGAAACGGACTCGCAGTGTTTCCAGGCTTTCAATGGTGGTCCAACATCAATCGGTTCATGATCTCATTCAAAACATTTATTTAAATGAAATGTATTTTTATAATTTGTCTTCTATTACCTTCAGTGTTTAAATACACCACTGAAATTATTGAGTATTTGAAGTGAGTTAAGTAGATGACAGTGATCAACTAATGTAGTTTGTGTATGTTGAACATTGAGTAAAGTTCACAATAAAACAGTGACTAAGTGTTTTTGATGTGAGATTTGAATGTTTTGATACAAGTCATGATACAAAGTTCTTGTAGGAGGTTGATTGAGGAGAAAGAAACAACTTTCCAATTCTTTCCTGTTTAGATTAGTAGTTTTGTTTTTTTGAATTAACTCTTTTTACATCGTTACCACCACAACGGGTGTTTATTACATGATCATGAACTCAATCACAAAACATCTTGATATCGATTTTTCAATGTGTTCTTTATACTTCATCAAATCACTTGTTATTCAACTTTCACTTAATATTTAGTTGCTGAAAGCAAATCTTCTCGTATGAGAACAGCCTATAATCAATGTCTGCAATCATTGTGGAATTTCCGAAATGCTCACATATCATTAGTTAAAAGGTAACTATAGAATAAATGTTAGTTTATTGGAAACTGAATAATTATTTTCCATTAGATTCATTATACAACCATCACAAAGTGTAGAGGCTAAAATAAAACAACTTGATATTAAAGGAACCGGTGGTCAATGTAAGTTGTTTTATTCAATCAACTTCTATTTTGATTGGGATCATGAATGGATGAATGATAGACCAGAATGGTAAAACTGGAAAAAGTTGACGGCCGTTTCGTCCTAGTATGTGACTTGTGAGCAGTGCGCATTCAAGATCATGCTTGCGGGATTTGATCATAGAACATTCGATCTCACATATTGGATAGTGGATGAAACAGTCGTCCAGTGCTCTCAGGTTTTCAATGGTGGTCTAACATTCATCCATTCATGATCGCAATTAAAATTCAAGAATCTCCACAACTCTTCACTGGCATTTTCTATTTGTATACAATTTTAGGTTTAAATGTCTTCCTTCAACGTGTACGAGATGCAACACTATCTGCATCTTTGGATTAATTGATTTCCTTGCAAATGATATCAGTTTATACAAGAATATAATCTTTTTGTTTTATGCAAATAATGAGTAAAATATACTTGATCTTTTAATAGTTCTATTCTTCTTCATTAACATTTGAAATGAAGAGTAGATATATTGTGAACTGGATAGTACTGCAGTTCTTTGTGATAACTTGAATGATAATCTCAATGCTTCCTATCAGCAGTAGTTGGTTATTTCCTAATGTCGCACATCTAGATGTTGCACTTTTGTCTAGTTTCACGTGATAGAATATTTAATCATTTGTTCATCGATTTCATAGGTAGTGTTCACACATAGAGGATGATCGCTTGTGTGTAAAGCTATCGCAGATATTGAGGACTTTGTAGCGATTTTGTCTGCCACAGTTTTGTAATCAAAGTATCCCAAACTCAGTGAAACTAGAAGTCAGGAATGAAGAATTTGGAAGACATATGTGGAATGTAATCGTTATGTTGTGTGGTGTTAATCAGTTAAGAGATGCTATAGATATTCTTAGTTTGACAACGTTTTTGTCCGTCACAACTATATAATAGAAAAATATCAACCGAGTGAAATCAGAATTTAGGAATGAAGGAGCTCAACGATAGTTTTGAAAAGCTGTCCAGTAAAACTAGTGAATTCACTTTCAATTTCAAATACTTACAGAACTACCTTTTGGGGGCTTTATTCACTTCTACATTTGTTCACAGACCTTATTTTTGATAAATCTTGCAATTTTGAACGCTATGCTCGGTTCCTAAGCTATTCTTGAAACCCTAAGCTAAAACTATTCAGAGACCTGAACACGAGAGAGAAGGCAAAAAGTATGCGAAAGTACTTTACTTTGAGGTTCATTTTAATACAGAAAACAGAGAATCTTTATAATATTCTAAATGTCCTTGGGTTGCTCGAAGATTCTTGAATGCTACTAAACATAGTAGCGGTTTAAAAATTAGCCAATCAGAACCTCTACATGTGACGTTTCACAGCCTTGATGTTTTCTGGCTAAACTCCAAGTGAACGCTGATTGGATGAAATACTTCTTAATGTTTCCTGATCCCTGCGTGTCTTTTGTGAGAAGTTTTCTGTATCATCCCAAAAACTTTTACCTTAATTATTCAGTAACGCTGATTGATTTCCACATAGTTTCACCATGCAACAGTTCTTTACTGCCAAAATCTGTAAAGATTATCGAGTGCTGAAATGCATTATTACTCGAATGTTCAAGTTTATTCTATATGTGGTGACTTTATTCGGAGAGAGAGATGAAATTGGCACTTTAATTGAAGTGCCATCAAACTGTCCTCAAAGATGATAAACATTACACAAGAATCATGTGTTGTAAGATAACTCATGAAATGCCTTTACAGTGATTTATAGAGGCTGTGAAGTAAAACCGCTTGACTACATCACCATAAGTTTGTTCATGAAACGTAAAACAACCGTGATAAAACTAAATGTGTATCAAATCGGTCTGTTGTGTTAGAGGTTTCGAAACATTTTGGGGAAGGGCACCGGATGTTGAGTTGTTTATTGCAGCAACTCAAGATGATCACTGGTTGACAAATCGCTTAAAACTTACTTCGATACCAGCCGAATGCATCCATTAAAATTTTTTTTTCCTGTATTGGAGAATATATCAGATATGACATACTTATTATCAACTGATGATAGAGGTACATGGTCACAACAACGGCCAAGTGGTAGGTCAGATTTTCAAATCTGTTTTCCAATCAAGATTCAATAAATAAAGTGATTCATTGATGGTGTGTCACATAAATCGATTAATTTAATGATTATATCAGCGACAAACTTTATACATTGAAAAACTTTGACTAATTCATTTGTTTCATTCGTTTTGCAATCTGTCGTTGGATGAATAGTCGGTCGACTAAGTTTGCTTTTGGTTTTTCAACGAATCAAAGTAGCTCTAAGGACAGCACCTAATGGCAATATAATAACGCTGTCATTAACAATGATAGATATATGTTTACTTGGGAATGAGAAATTAGATTCATATAATGCATCAATACAATACTATCATTAGAACTACGAAAATAAGATGACAGTTTGCTTCATTTGTAAAGTCCATTTCTTTAACCTTAAATACCTCATTTTTCATATTCTTAATTAATTAACGAATGTACAAATCGGGGAAATTTTACTTTCTCTAACCCAAGCGACTAGTGAGAGAATTTGAAAAAACTCTGCAAACTTTGATTCCATTAAATTAAATGATGTGCGGGTGAGAATGACAATGGTTAGTTGTCTGCTTAGTCAGACATTTAGATAATATGACAGGTGTCAGATGAGTTATATATTCCCCTATCCTTATAATCATTATTATACATTGTTCATTGTTGTTGGATTGTGTCGAGTTTCTAGTGTGGAAATATATTTACGTCCTACTTAGGCTATTCACGTGTTCTTGATCTGAGTTGTGTTGAACTCATGTAGAATAGACACTAAGAGGGAATCTAGTGAAGATAATCTTCTAAGGTAAATTAACGTCCCATACGTGTAAATGTTGGAAACCCAACCGTTATAACATTCATTATCTTTTTTAAGATTGGGCATATGATCCTAATATTCCTTTGTACTGGCATCACTTCAAAAATCGATGATCCATTGTTATACACGTATAATTTCTCCGTATTAATTACGGGTTCTTCCTTCTTTGATTTAGAACTCAAACACGAATATCTGAGTCGAACTGTGAATGTGGCACACATACAAAAATTCGATAATTAAATTGTTCACCTACCAAATAGTTGAGATTAAATATTTGCACTGATCCATATTCCGCTTGGTTCTACGAAAGAATGATTACTTAATAACAATACTGATGTAAACATCAATGTTAGATTTAGCGATCTAGTATGTCATAGATCAAACTGACAATCAAATCACCACAACTGATTTGAAAACAATCAAAGCTCCAAAGTATACACGTAATCATGTAATAATACCGGCTGTTGTGCACCATCGCACATCTTTATTTGGTTTACAAAAAGAGGTAAACTGAGAGAGCTTTATTCACAAGACGGTTTGTTCTGTATCAAGAATCTGTGATGCGAATACAATTTATGGACAAACCAGTGAAGCGAATGTGAGCTAATCTTGTATTCTGGCTTGCAATGTATTCATTCAAATGGATAAATAGCATTTGGACACTATAATTCATGTAGTTTTGTGATGAAAGCCTATACATTATCAATTAAAATCAAATTCCTACCCGAAAGTCTAATTCAAAGTTTGAAACACTCTTTCTAAAGAAGATAACCAAAGGTCATATCAAGAGGTAAATCTAATCAGTAATGACAAGATAAGAATAAAATGAAGTAATCTGGCACAGTTTTCAATGACAATTCTATAATATATTGAATGAAGTAAGAGATAAGGATTGATAAGGGTGAATTGTTAAATATCTGTAAGAGTAAAAACGGAAGTTATATTATCATAATGGCTCTATCGAGACGATACACAAAGATTGATCAAGTTTTAGTCCATAAGATAAACAGTAGAACATTGAATGTTTATCCTACTACTAAAGAGCATGAACACCATTTCACGTCGACAAGATTAATTGCTGGTTTGTTATCAATCAAATCAATATCAGGTAATTGAAGTACTATGGATGGGTACTACTGAGGAGTCTCACAATATGACGAAATGGCCGTCCAGTGCTTCCAGTTTTCCATCCGTGGTCCAGCATCAATCGGTTCATGATGTCAATCAAAAATTAAATAATAATTATTGGAAAAATTGTATTCGTGGTTTATTTTTGGCTTCAGAATTCGGTACTACACCATGAACACAAAATCACTATTTAAAATGAGTAGATTGTCAGTAGACGAACAGAATTCCATGAAAATTCCAAAACACAGGATAAATGATCATGCTCTTAATTATGTTTATGTGAAATTGTCTATGTATACTCAATGAATGTTATACACAACTATGAGAATTGGTTAAGGAAAAGGAATGGTCAATCTGAACAAAACGGTTACACAGTCTCTTTTCCAAATCAACAACACTTTGAAATGTAGCTACAGTGTTTTCTGTCAAGAATACACATACAAATATAATGTCCATTGCAAGTTATATCATTGACTGATATTACTAAATTGTATTCATTCAAATGTAGGAAACGTTGTACGGATTCTTCGTACTGATACATAACACCCATACTGTTCACAATTACAATCCTAAGGCAATCGAACACACTACATACTCGATTCGAGATGATCACAATAATCGAGTGAAGATCAAACTGTCTACATATACAATATCACGACATTTGGAATCGTCCCCGATTACTCTTCACTGTCATTTTTGGTATTTCACGTAGATAAACTACTTAAAATTCTTCATCAGAACGTCACCACACAATCAACATCTAAGCAAATTATCAATCTATGAACACATTCTGTTCAGACAAGAGGCATGGTAATATGATTTCATTGTTCAAATTACTCTACATTCTGATACTATTGGATAATTCTACTCTGATATGAGTGGCATTTCAACCAATCTCAGTTTGTAATACAATCCTAATATCACTGTTGGTTGATGATGAAATGCGGTGCCATTTCCCTTCATTAAATGTTAATGTGAATTGTCTGCATTGTCAATGTATCTATTTATGATACTGACATAATATAAACGAAATATTGGACAAATTTACTTTTGTGTATACGTTGTGTAATTATTCGTTGAAATGCCAACATTACTGAATTACTCTCTCTCGATATAATGATGATGATAGTACTATCTTCATTTCAAATATTCTGAACGAATAATACACCACATTCTCCTGATTTTCAGCTTTCAGATGATAGACGTACTTATTATACAAACAGCAGATAAGACCCTGTGTATGAATACCAGTACACAAATGTACCATTTTGATTTGGCAGTAAAACAATATATATAGAGAACACTTGAAAAGGTTATTACAGTAATAAATTAACTTTGAATTTGTTATACCTTGTCATAAAATAAAGAACAACATGATAAATTGTGGGTCTTCAAAGGTATGTCGTTGTCATAATCCTTCAAACAAG